TTGAACTGATTTACTTTATCCATTCACTATAATTTCTTGACAAGGAGAATGATGATTTTTTATATATTGAATATCACAATAAAACCCTACTTTATATCATTAGTTATTTATTAGTTATTAAAATTATCTATTTATTTCAATTGCCTAGTAATGAAAGATAAGCAAATTGAACGTCGTTGTTGTGATTAAAGTCTTGCTTTTCTAAGGTCTTAGTTAGAAATTCTAAACTACTCCTTGCGGGATCGATATCTAGGACTCCATTATACTTGAGTGATACGTATACATGTGTTGATAAGTGTGACTTCACATTTATTAAATATTTAATACGTCCATATTTATCTTATATTTTAAGCATATATAAAGTCGTTGTCAGTGGCCCCATTGATCACATCGACTACACATCTAAACTTTCTAGACTTTGTTATAACCACCTACTAAGAAATTTTGCAATCCTCTTTTTCTTCGTCTACCCCTAGGCTGATCAGAGGAAAATATATTGAGAATTTCATACCTATTTTATACTATTTTTTATGATATTGCACTATAAAGAAAGGTATTTTTTATTTTTGTTGCAGGAATGATGAATTAGGGTCATTGGAGCAAAAAGATGCAAAAAGGAGCGAATTTGGAGCGAAAAGGACCAAAATGTGCAGAATTAAACTAGGGCGCTGACGACGCCATCGACCCCGCCGATGGTAAGATTTTCCCGAGACTCCAGAATTAATTCATTAAGAAGGTCCGCCGACGGCGCCGTCGAGGCTGGCGACCTCTTGGGAAAGCTCATCCACAATTTAAAAAGAATGTTTTAGCCAAAAATTGAAGAGCCAAGAAGTGCTAGAGAGAGTTCCAGGAGGTTAGAAAAAATTTAATAGTGTGTAAAAATTGTGAGTAATTCTTCGAGATATTGTAAGATTGGAGGGAAAGTGAGAGATTTCTTCTTCTTTGCTGCTTCGAGATTCAGAGGAACTTCGAGGAGTGTTCTTGGGAAGAAATTAGAGTTAAGTTATTTACTTGTTGTAGTTTGTATGACTTTGATTTTATATATGAATTCTGAGTTTTGTTGTGTTTTCCCCATGAGATCTGAGTAGTTTTCTCTGTCTTTCTCCTTGTCTTGAGATTTGTGAAATGGTGATTTGAATTGGTGAAGCCTTGAAAATGTTTAAGAAATTGTGATTATCTTTTCACTTCAATCTTAATTTACATTCAATTTGGCCAATTGATTTGTTAAAATATGTTGAGTTTTACAACTAAAGTGAAGATTACATCCAA